AACCAAATGGGACAGGCAAAAAAAAACAAAAAACAAAAAACCATAGTACATTTTACAATCCAACCATAAAGTAATATATCCAAATGGTAAAACAAATAGTTTGGAGAAGAGAAGCACAACTCAAAGAGACATAAATTGATTCAGACCTTCACAATTACAGGCAATTTAAAGTTGCCACTTCTATTCTACAACCTAGAAGCCTCTGAACTGCGACAGTGTCATGAATTATTATTAAGTTATTATTATTACATTATAATGTAAAATTAATTCTGCTCTTTTCTTTAATATTTATGTCGCTATTTTCCTTCTTAAAGGAGACTAACGGACCATTAAAGCACTACTTAATGGTTACATAGTCACCACGTAATAGTTATAAAAACTTCTGTAATGCATTTAAAGGCACAGTTCGGTGTTTAAACAAAAAGCTGAACACTCCTAAAAGAGAAAAGAGGAGAGAAACAAGACTGCACATCCATACAGGTGCTCTAGCTGATTTCAAGACATAAATAGTTTAGAATAATCCCTTTTTGCGACACATGTATATAAAGGGATGCATGACGGCTGATTTTGGTACTGAGTCCTGGTACTCTGTGTACATACAGACTCATATTCATGGCTTCTTGAGACATATAAATAGAACAGATGCTTTATTAGCCTTTATGTCTTTAGCAAACACCTGTGTAAATGATCCCTCGTGAAAAGCCCTACTGAAGCAATACGTGGGAACATATGATGTCACAAAGCTCTACAAACTAATAAAGATCACGCCGTAATCAAGCTGCCACCTCCGTAGCAGGGATATAAAGGCAATGGTGAAATGCAAATAACCAAATAATCCAGAGTGAGTCAATCCCCATGTTAACACTTCACGTGAATCACATCAAATACGAGCTGCCTGTAATGGGTTTTGATTGCGTCAAATTAAATCGTCACAAGTCCAATTTTTCATTTATTTCAGGTAACGGTGTTTGAGCCCAGTAGACTCTGATGCATGATAATCTGGATGCAGTTTGTGTGTACTCACCACACTGATGAGCTGAGACAAAGACACCTGTATGGAGACGGTGACCTGCTGGCTCTTATTGACAGCAGGTCTGATTAGTTTATTGTAGTGCTCTGGACCTAAAAGGTAGTTTACCAGGCGCTCCTCTGCATTCTCTGCCCAGCTGCCTGCAGAGAAAATACAGAATATTGAAAGAAATCCAATTAATCAAAGAGCTTTAAACATAAAAATGAATCTGTTTAAAATATGTAATATTATAGACATGATTACATGGAACTCCACTGCCTGAAAAAGCAGAGGCAATAACTAATGTCATTCATAAAGGCCATGTGTTTGCCCTGTGGCGATTCACAGCCACTGGTAGGTGTGTAGTGTATCTTTGTATCCTGCGTGTGC